CTTTGCTATTTATTTTTATAAAACACAGAAAAACCTGCTAGGGAATTTAGCTAACTTAACATTTGTTCATTTTCTTCTAGGTGTTTCTCTGAAGCGAAAGGGTGGGTTTAAAGTTAGCGGTCAAAGTGTTCTGGGGGAGGGTCTCCCCTCCTAGCGCTTGGCTGTGAAACTCTCTTCTTGTGGGGGATCCAAAGATACCCTTTGTCAGGTCGATCCTCTATGAGCAGTCCGAGTCCCCATGAGCCGAAGAGCTCCCTGAAGAGAGGGGCAGCCTCCCAGGGTCCTACCTCTCTGTGCCTCCAGTGGTTTCCAGCAGGTGGTAAATGGGCACAGACTTAATCTCCTCCGGTTTAAAAACATTTGGATTCTGTCCTTACATGCAAAGCTTTCCTGCGACACAGTTTTCACACAACAGGGCCATTCTTCCTGTCATTAGAATAGTTCTTGCTGCTCAATAGCTCCTCAAAATACAAATTCTTGGGGCACCTGTGCGGCTCAGTCAGTTAAGCATCTGACTTCAGCTCACGTCATGTTCTCATGGTTTGTGAGTTCGAGCCCCGTATCGGGCTCTGTGCTGACAGCTCGGAGCCTGGAGCCCGCTTCGGATTCTGTGTCTCCCTCTCTCTCTGCCCCTCCCCTGCTCGTGCGTGCTCTCTCTCTCTCTCTCTCAAAAATAAATAAACATTCAAAACAAAACATAGCCGAAAAAATCTTCATCATCTCTCCTCTGCAATGATTTCAAAACGACAACAATAATCCGTATATCCCTTTATAAAGCCAGCAGAACCACTGTATTCCCACTGTCATATAGTCAAAGCTATCCTAAGTATGCACCATGTGTCATCAGCCCTTTACAAAACTTAATCCACTTGTAACTCAGGATGACTTACTGTGCGTGAAGGGTCTTGAGTCCTATTTTACAACTTGGTGAACTGAGATCACAGGAGAAAAGGGTCTTGCTTTGAGTTTCTAGGGTTAGGGATAGGTAACCCCATGGGCTGGGTCTTAGCTTCAGAGAGCCCCAGAGTGCCACGTTCATGTGGTGACAACCACACCCCATGGGGGGCCCGGGACTCACCTCTGGACCAGCTGCACGATGCTCTGGGTGTTCATGAAGAACACCTCCCGGTCAGCCTTCCGCTGCAGGGTGGCCGCGTGGCAGTCCAGGATAGTGGCTATCTAGAAGGGCAGACAGGATAGGTCTGACCACTCATCACCATACGATCCGGTCACCTCCAGAAGTCACCAGAAGGACCCACCGTGGGATTCCATGGAGGACCCATTCAAGGCTCATTCAAAAATCGAAAATTTCTTGGGTCACCTGCGTGGCTCAGTCAGTTGAGCGTCCGACTTCAGCTCAGGTCATGATCTCACGGTTCGTGGGTTCGAGCCCCACGTCGGGCTCTGTACTGACAGCTCGGAGCCTGGAGCCTGCTTCGGATTCTGTGTCTCCCTCTCTCTCTCTGTCCCTCCCCTGCTCACCCTCCCTCCCTCCCTCCCTC